TGTATTAAAAGTTGAGTGGGTAGGCCGTAAGAGATGAGAAGAAATGAGTTTGTGTATGATGGGTTTTAAGCCTATTAGGTGTTCGTTAGCAATGGGTATTGTGGGACATTAGGGAACAAAGAGGGGTTCCACAACTTAACAAGGATGGAGAATGGTACATAGCAATGGAGGGAGAAGTGTCCCATACTAGGGATTGACCTTGTCCGAGGGGAAGGGGACGGTGCAAGCCTCAGGGGCCAGGTCTGGGTGGCCTGTAACAGGAGTATTGTAGCCAGAGTTAAAGTGTTTAGAGTAAGCGTAGCTTTGAATTTGGAAAGGATGTCCCATCCTAGTAAGGGGGCTGGGCGTTGAGGCATTATTAAAAATTTGTGTGTTGATTTGGTGTGATGTAGGGTGCATGAACGGGGTTGAGTGATCTGTGGGTGGTATTCTGATCCTGTTATCCCTACTATTGTGATAGAGGACAGGGTTGTTGGTCCTGCACATTCAGGAAGGGTAGAGTAAATGACCCCTGTATCAATGACAAAAGAGATGGGCTTACCTGCTGCAAGGACAGTTATCCTGGGCTCACGCATGGTGATCTCCATGGGGCCTCAGGCCCTGGGCATCGTCAGTCCTCATCTTGGGTGAATCCAAGAAGTTCTGGTAAAGATGGCCAGGAAGCCAAAGGCTGTGGGTTAGGGACTGGGCCACTCCCTCTCTGGCAAGTGGAACAGTCAACCCCCCAGTGACCTGGTTGTTTGCAGTGAAAATAGGGCCCAGGAGGAGGCCTGGGGTCAGAACAGGCCCCAGGAGAGGGCCTGGGGTCAGAAGAGGCCTGTGCCCAGTGGCCTAGTTGACTGCATTGGAAGCAGTTCCCCGGTGGCTTGTCCTTAGAGGCAGCCAGCTTTAGAGTATGTGAACCACAGATAGCATTAGCCAGGAGCTGGTATTTGACCTGATCTCTTTTGTAACAATTTTTCTTCTCCTCCTCCTCCTCCCTATTGTTAAAAACCTGGAAAGCAGCATTGAGGAGGTCTCGTTGGGTTGTATTTGGACCATCCTCAAGTTTTTGTAGTTTTTTTCGAATATCAGGGGCTGATTGGGTAATAAAATGAGAGTGTAAGAGGGCCATGCCTGCAGGGGAGTTTAGGTCTATATGTGTGTATTTATGTAAAGCCTCAGAGAGGCGGGTTAGGAACTTGCTGGGATTTTCAGTGGATCTTTGTGTGATTTCTCTAAGATCATATTATCCCAGAGATCCTGATCCCTATGGCTGACCTGGTAGTACCAATTTGGGTCCGTATGAGGGATGGTAATGGCTCCTACAGGCCACCTATTATTTTGAGCATGTACCTCATCTGCCTGTTGTTGGGCTGTTATCCAGACCTGCTTCCTGTCCTCGGGGGACAAAGTAGTAGAGAGAATCATAAAAAATATCATGCCAGGTGAGATCATAAGACGGGTGAGATATCTAAATTCCTTAATATATGTGTCTGAGTTGGACTGGAAAGATCCCAGTCATTTTATGATTTGGGAGAGATTGGAAAGGGANTGTCTGAGTTGGACTGGAAAGATCCCAGTCATTTTATGATTTGGGAGAGATTGGAAAGGGAAAAGGGGATATGGACCCGGGCAATTCCCTCCATTCCGGCCACTTCACAGAGGGGGTATAAAGGAGCTGGAGCTGAGGCAGGGTTGTCACCTGATGAAGGGGAGAAAAAGAGGGGTTGGGCGGCTGAGAACGAGTGTCTTGAGACCAGGTATGGGGAAGAGAGGGGAAAGGTGGAAGGGCGGGTGAAGGATCTGGAGCATAAGGAGGTGGTCGGGGAGCAGAGTGGTCTGACAGATTGAAAGATTGATCTGAGTCAAGAAGGGGAGGTCGAGCATGAGCTAGGAGAATTTGAGACATAGGACAGTTTTGACAGAAGGACGTGATCAAAGATAGAAGAAGGCTTAAACATAAGGAATCTCTCTGACTTTACCGTTTTGGTGAAAAAAGTTGTCTAGGTCTCTTAGAGTATCTAAATCGAGAGTGCCATCTTCTGGCCACTGAGATGCATTGTCTACTTTGTACTTAGGCCAACCTGAATGTAGTAGAAAACGAGGCATTCATGTTTAATATCTCCCTGGAGCCCAACACCTGGAGGCCAAGAGGTTGGCCAGAAGATGACCCAGAGGGTGAAGAGATTACAGTAGAAAACAAGACATTTAGGCTTAATGTCTCCCTGGAGGCCAAGAAGTAAATTGGCCAGGAGACAGCCCAGAGGTGTAGAACGTGGAGGTTTGGATTGTGAGGATCCCATTTAGAGGGTCAGTCCCAGGAGAAGAACGGTAACACCGTTGGCACACACCTCCTTTTTAAGAGAGAGGCCACTGACCAGCTAAAGGAGCATCCTCCAATAGCTGGGGGCCACGAGAGGGGTTCCCTCAGCCAGGCACCTAGGCTTCATAGCAAGTAGACAGTAGTCGTAGAGAGTAGTCGGGGAACCTGTAGAAGTAGGACAGACCCACTGACTCACCCTGAATGGAGGCCAGTGTTAGATGTGTTGGTCTGAAACAGCAAAAGGAGAGAGTCTTGGAGGCACCCGGTTCAGCAGGTCCGGGAGGGGTGGCCAGGAGGGCCCATCAACCCAAGAGAGGGGATCATCTGAAGGTCCTGGCCAGGACCCTTCCTGGGTTTCAGCACCATAATGAAAGAAAGTGAGCCAAAACACTGTGTACCGATCAAGCTTTATTAAAGGAAGAAAATCTGCTGGGCCGGACTCAAAATGGAGGGCAGCACCAGGCCTGGGGGAGGGAGAGCTTATATAGACTGTAGGGAAGGCTGATGTAACCAGGGAGGGGTTCGGTGCTGGAGTGGAAGATAAGGCTGGTGAATGCAATCAGGCGTAAGGTTGTACCCATGCAGAAGCAGAGGTGTTTCTATTTCTCAGAAACTATGTGGTATGCAATCAGGTATAAGGTTGTGCTCAGGCGGAAGTAGAGGAGTTTCTATTTCTTAGAAACTACGAGGTTTCTTGTAAGGAAAAGGCTAGCAGCTATTTTGTGCTTTTTGTGTGTAAAATGGCACCAGTCACTTCCAAGATCCATCAATCTCCTTTTCAGCTAAACATGAAAAAATTCTGAAATTTGGAATAATTTCTAAAATAATTGCCTTGGTTGGAAAATATTACAAATAAAATTAGATTTTGGTTAGTCAAATTGAACTTGATTCTTTAGAAAGAACATGACGTGAGGGCCGGCCCGGTGGTGCACTGGATAGTGCGCCGCTTGGGAAGTGCGGCGGCGCTCCCATCCGAGGGTTCGGATCCC